CTTTTTGGGAGATATTCAAGATAGTTGATTTAAAGTCCTTAATATAACACCCAATATGAAATATTAAGGCTAGGATCCAACACAATATTTGAAGGTAATCCAAGCTATAGAATATTTGAAGGTAGGCGAATGACGATTCACCAATTTCCACCATCAAAAATGAAATAATTTATTAGGTTTTAATTTGATTTGAAGCTCCTATATCTTTTGAGATTCATTGATCTTTTCAATGGCATGTTTCAATCTCGATTGTGCCCTCTCAAATTTTGTGACTAGGATGCCGAGGATCAGAAAACAAGGTGTGAATAACCATGCAAATTCACTTGGTACCCTTATTATTATCACCTAATCAATGTGTCGGTTAACCACACGCGCTCCACCGATCTATGATAAACATTAAGTCACCCTCCGTTATCCTTACTAGTCCAAGTTAGTGTGCCGGTTAACCACACACGCTCCACCAACGACTTAGTAAGGTACAAAGTGTGAATTTCATGGGTTAGCACCATTTCACATTTTCCGAAAGTAACTAAGATTAGGAATTTATAAAAACATTTAGTTACTTTATAATAATCATTATACTTTTAATGAGAATTTAAAGTCATTGTCCTACCCGTTCGGCTAACGACCCTCCACCGATCAAGGAAGCGGTGGGTGAGAGTGGACACCCATTAAGCTGCTATTTTATAGGTAACAACCTTATACCCCCCTTATAGACCGGCTTCGTGAATGAGGCCTACTAACGGTAAGACTGACTTGCTCTTATACATATGTGTATATATATATATATATATATATATATATATATATATATATATATTATTAACTTATAATATTATAAAGTATAAGGGTTGAATTTTAACTTTTAAAACTCTAGGGGTTGGAACTAAAGTGTGTGTGAGACTTTACAAATTCCAAAACTTGAGGGCAAGTTTTCAAACTATTCAAAACTTTTCATTTCATAACATATGAATTAATGGTTCATAAAAATGAAGACTCTTCATTTTTATGTAAATTATGTGTTTTCAATGGCATAAAAGAAAGTGACCTTTGAAAATCCATAACTTGAGGACAAATTATGGACTCCATTAAAACATATAAATGATCAAGAATTAATTAATAAACAATTTAGCAAGTAATTCCTATGATCTAACAATAATTCATAAGAACATGAATATCATATCAAAACTTCAAGAACATATGAACACATATAAACATGGAATTTTGATATTGACCATTGTAAATGGATTAGCACAACCATTACACCATCTAAAACAAGTTTTATAACACCAAAACAGTTTAGGGTAATGTTTTTAGTCCATTTCCAGCAGCAAAAGTCGAAAATATGCACTCTGACTAGCCAACTCGTCGAGTGCATGAAATAACTCGCCTAGTTGGTTGAAGATACGCATGGACTCGTCGAGTCCCCCCATGGACTCGGCGAGTCCACTGACCAGACAGCAAGAATTTCGATTTTTTCATAGTTTGCATCAAGTATTCAAGAAAACAATCCTAGGCTATGATACCACTGATTGGTTTTGAGCATTCTAACACTCCTATGGTGTAAATGCAACCCTATAAACCTTGGATCTATGTTTTCTCTAAAATACATGCAAATGAGAATTTCCAAGGTTTACATCCTAACTAGCATGGCATGGGGAACTTCAATCATAAAATTACTAGTAGAATGACATACGTTTTAGTGGTGGTTGATTGCTTGGAGTTTGAGAGCCTAGCACCAATAGTATGCATGCCTCAAATGGAAATCACAAATCACCACAAACTTTGGAAAACTCTTGACAGAATAATGCACACTCTTGAAATTGGCCACCACTCTTGTTCACACATAACTAGTGCCAAAGACTCCTTTATATAGTGTGGGGAATTAGGGTTACATCCATGTAAACTCTAATACCCATGACTCTTTCTTTCCAAGGAGCCATGGGTTAAAAGCTCCATGGACTCCTATGCATGCGAAGCCCATTCCAAATGAGTATTAGCCCACACTACATAAAATACAAGAGCCCATATTTAATTAGTCACCTTTTTGATCACCAAATTAATTCTAAATTAATTTATGATCAATACTAATTAAATAATATGATTTCATATTAATATATTATAACTTATAATATATTAATAAATCATGAACATACTATTCTCAAAAGATTATACATACAAATTGTTCGGGTGAAGTGCAACCCAAATGGACCATGCCGGTTCGGGTCAAGTACATCTCAAATATTGTTATGGACTTCGACACCTTATCCAACACAGATATACACCAGGACGCGTTCGAGCTAACACGAACCTGCATGCAGTGCCATATTTTCTCATCAACACAAGGAGTCCCGCCATCGGACCTAACAAGCATAGTTAGGCCCTAGCCTTTCTACCAATGGGGAATCGACATAGTCGGTCCTTTCCCAGAAGCACCGGGGAAAGTAAAATTCTTAATTGTAGCGGTCGACTACTTTATGAAGTGGATAGAAGCAGAGCCAATGGCATGCATTAATAGGAAATAAGTAATCAAATTTGTATGGAAAACATTGTGACAAGATTTCGGATACCAAGGGTCATGATCAGCGACAATGGCCTACAGTTCACTGAAAACCCCTTTAGAGATTGGTGCATAGAAAAGGGAATAGAGCAAAGGTTCACATCTGTGGCGCATCCTCAGGCCAAAGGGCAAACAGAGGTGTCCAATAGAACACTGGTTCAAGGGATCAAAAAATGGTTGGGCAAAGCAAATGGCAACTGGGAAGACGAGCTGCCAGAGGTTCTCTGGTCATATCGAACCACACCACGGACCAGCACAAAAGAAACATCATTATGCCTAGCTTATGGAGCCAAAGCGATGCTACCGGCAGAAATAATGGTGGGATCGATACGCACGGAGTATTGCGGGGAACATGAAAACAGGGAAGGCCTAAGGGAAAACTTGGATCTCTTGGAAGAACGACGTGAACGCTCAAGCATACGCCAAGCCGCCTATAAGAAGGCGGTAGAAAGATACTACAATCAGCGAGTAAGGAACAAGGCGTTCCGAGTAGGAGACTATGTTTTGCGAAAAAAACGAAGCCAGCCACGCCCAACCCCGAGGAAAGTTAAGTCAAACCTGGGAAGGACCATACAAGGTAATTGAGGCGCACCGCAACGACTCTTACTCCATTGAATATCCGGAGGGGAGGCAGATACCCAGAACATTGAACGCAAGGAACTTTAGGAAGTTCCACGTCTAGGAAATGACAGAACCCTATACAGAAGGGAAGTCGAAGGAACACAGCCTCCAAGCAATGTCGTGAACCCCTAAACAGTAGGGAAAATGGGGAAAACATACCAGGGCCGAACTGATCACCCGGACCAATAGATGGACTCTCAGAGAAGTCCAATAGGAAGTTATTGTATGAAACAACCATGTACTAGAAATACATAAATAAAAGAGCATGCATTATCTTTAGTACGTAATGCACTGAGCACATCTAACACACATGACATAGAGGATACTCAGCAAATCCAAGATATAGCACACACAAACATAGAAAATATAATATGCAAAAGAAGGCCTAACAAGTAGAATCGATACAGTTGATAAAAAGCATAACAGACAAACCATTGTTTGTTTACACATAAAAGCCTTAGGGGCCGCAAACTAAGAACATCAAAACAAAGATCTCAGAGGCCATAAAATAACCAAAAGACAACACAACGCTTCGACAAGATTTTTTTTCACACCCCAGAAGGGTAGCTCTAGACAGCTTCACCGCCATCCTGACCAGCCCCACTGCCAGTCCCACCAGCACCACCACCATCCTCACCAGCACCACCGCCATCCCCACCAGCACCACCATCCCCACCAACACCCCCATCCCCACCAGCACCACCGTCATCCCCACTAGCACCACCGCCATCCCCACCGGCACCACCACCGCCACTCCCACCAACACCACCACCGCCATCGCCACCAGTACCTGCACCCAACTCGCCCAGACCTTCCTCACCATCATCAAAAGTACACAGTGCTCTCACCCCATCAACGTCCAGATCACCTAATCCAAGAAAACTAGCGAAATCCATAGTTGCGAAAGCCAGTAAAGCATCATCCAAGGCAGAAGAATGACTGGACCACGAGTCGCTAGCCGAAGGGTCGTACGTCCCGGCATCAACCTGGGCCTTCAAATTCGCCCAACCCGACTCCTCGTCAGAGACAAAAGCAGCATGTCGAATGCGGCTAATGCCACCAATGAACTCAGGGTGATCAAAAAGTTTGTCCATCATGCGCACAAGGCCCACCCGGAGGAGCCAACTACGATCTGCCTTCAACACCTCTACCTCCCGCTCGCGGTCAACAACATGTCGCTCCAAGCTCTCATTTTGAATCATTAAACCTTCATTTGCCTGGGTCAAGGACTCCACTTGACCCTCCAAAACACCACGAACATCCTCCAACACTGACTTCTCCGAGACCAAAGACCCGTTCTCATCCTCCAGACGAGCAACCACAGCATTTAAATCCGCCACCCTACTTCTCAAGCTAGCTTCACTCTCGACCAAGGAAGAGTGCACACGTTCCAAATCGTCAAACCGTTGGACACGACGGGACCCGGCAGCTAAGTATGTCATAGCCTGCGCAGCGGCGTATGCAAGTTTGTGAGCCAAGACGACATTGCTCATAGAGTCCATATCATCCATGGTGGCTGGAGGGAGAGCATGGCGGGTAAAATCTAAAGCGGCAGAACGCATGGACAACCAAGAATCGGGTCGCAAACTCCATCTCGGGATGAACACAGGAACAGCGGGAGCAGATCCCTGAAACAATCGCTCTGGACTACCCCTTGGAGACGGAGGAGTAACACCAACACTCATAGGAATCGGAACAAGGGGCTGATGAGACACCCTCTCACTACCCTCAGACTGTTGAACATCATCATGTATCACCAACACATCCACTGGATCGGAGGAAGGAGAAGATAACAAGCGCATAAGACCGCGACGCTGCATCACCCGCCGACCAATGGGCCCCGGACAACCCTCAGGCAATGGGCCCCGAACAACCCACTCATCGGCTGCACCGCCTTCCTTTTTCCGGCAATCCGGCGGGCGGTGGTCACTGTCCCAACCTTACTATTAACCACATCATCAGCAGCCGACCCATTAGGACCAGGAGATACAGTCGCAGGAGTAACAACAGTGTGTGAACCAGGGCGCCTCTCTGATATAGTCGAACTACCTACGGGCTGAGGAGGTACCAGGATAACAACAGACAAGCGGCGGGGAGGAGGCAAAGTCTCATATAGACGCACTGCATGGTGTAACAGCTTCCCCTGGTAGCGACCCCGTAGCACGGAATCCATAGAAACAGAGCATTCGACACCTGTTAAGCAAAACACATAAATAGAAAAAAAAAGAGAGGGGGGAGAGAAGGAGAAATAAAGAAGGAAAGTAAGAACAAATCACCCTTTGAGATGGTGTAAAACACAAGAATCTCACCCCGGGACCGCCAGTTAGGGCTCATTCCGACACCAGCAAGGATCACCTCCGACATCACGTCAACATCCACTTGAAGAGAGCGTAGGAGGTCTACAGTCGCCTAGTTATGAGTAAACAGCTTGGGAATAGTGTCCGAAGGAATCGTCGCCCGGGGATGCTCACCGCCGAGCAACTCCCAATTAATCCACAACCACCGGTCTTGCCAATTCTTGAGAGGCTTGCTGTCAATAACAAGATTATACCCTCCCGGACGGGCGGAGAAAGTATACTTGTCATTGGTGGCAGCAAACCGGAAGAAGTACTTGAAGATGAAATAATCAGGCATAATGCCATTAGCACGTCATATCATTTCGAAAGCCACCACCTTGTGAACAGCGCCAGGAGTTAGCATCTGCACGCTACACCCACAATGGCAGAGTATCTCCTTCTGAAAGTCGGTCAAGGGAATACGAAGACCAGCGTCAAAAGTCTTCAGTTAAACATCCACCTTCCCATGAGGAGGTCGAGTAATCAAAGAGCCGGGGACAGGAAATTCCACCCTGTCAGTCGGGGTAAGACCATACGCCTCTTGAAGTGTAACGAAGTCAGAAGAACTAGGGGTCGAACCTTGAGCAATAGCCATGGAGAAAAGAAAAGAGAGGAAGAGAGAAGAGGATGAGAAGGCAGAGGGGGAAATGAAAGGGGAAACCGGTGGAAGAGCAATAAAAGGAAAAAAAGTCGGGGTCTGCGAATATCACTGACACATGATGTAACCGCCGTGCACACGTCGAAACGTCACATCGGCGGAAATGAAGCGACAACTGAGTGATACAACGACACATGTACCAGTAGTTAAGTCCAGAACATCATAGTTAGGTAGCATACGCTATGAATACTAGCCTGGGGGACTTGATGACGCACCCCTTAGAGCGGGCTCGGAACAGGCGAGCCTCGATAAATCGCCCCCAACGGGGAGCCGACTCAGCGATCCCGGACCCCCGCGAGGCGGCTGCACAGAATGCTCGCCCTCGCCAGAATATTGTCCTTTAGCTATAGCTCGGAGACAACGGCTCCAGGCGACGAAGCATCCAGACAAAGCACAATCGCCTGGACCAATCACTAGGCTAAACATGAATGTAGAGCAGGGCTCCCCAATAAGAACGATGGATCCTGTCGGGACTGCAGTTCCAGTCCCTAGTACGGACCGAGGAAGATCTCCACTATAAAAGGACCTCACCTTGGTCCCGGTAAGGAAAGTGATCCCTACCCTCAATCTCTCACTCTCACTATAACCTTCAGCATACTGACTTGACCGTCGGAGCGTCTTTCCGGGACCTCCTCCCGGAAAACGGCTGACGGGTTTCTTTCTTGTGTGACCTCTCAGGCTTTAGGAGCAACGAATCTCTCTCACGGCCAGTGGTTCGTAAGCAGGTCGCATCATATATATATATATATATATATATATATATATATATATATATATATTATATAATATATATATATATATATATTATATATATATATATATCTATATATATATAATTATATATATATATATAACTACATAACACTATTTTAAGTATAGAAGTACTTATACATTTTTGGTCTTAGGGTTTTTAAGACTACCACTAAGTTTTTAGAAAATATTGGATTTTCTGGGAACGAACACTATCATTTTACGGGGAAAAGTTATAGATTTTCACATACCAAACTCTTAAGAACTCACCAACTTAATTGTTGACCCTTTTAAAATCTACTTGTATTCTCAGGAAATCATTAAGCATGTAATCACAAGGATTTGAGGATGGGACGTTACGACGTCACATTATTTACTTTTGTCATAATGTAATTGGTATTGAAACTAACAAAATTTGGATACAATGTAATATTCCTAATTATAATTATGATGGTTGTGTTGCTTTGATCACTATTATTCATTATGTTCTGATACTGCAAATTGCCATGCGGCCTCTAATGCTCGGACTTGACAATCCTATAGGCCAAGCACCTCTCGACATACCAGGCTATATCGCTGTTCACACACGGCCACCAGTAGCTCAATCTCAAATCCCGGTAGATCTTGGTGGCTCCCAGGTATATAGAAAAACAAGACTTATGAGCCTCCTCCAACACTGTCTCCCTGATCCCACTAGAAACTGGAACCCAACCCGATCACAATGGGTCAATAACCCTCGACTATTGGAGATGAACCTGTCGATCCCACACCTAATCCTTTCATGTTTCTTGTTCTCTTTCCGAACTCCCTCTTCACGAGCCTCTCTGATCAGTTCCAAAAGTGGAGAATCAACGAATATCCTGATACACACCTCCTCGATCGAAGACCCAGCCGACTTACAACTCAAAGCATCCGCTACCACACTCGCTTTACCCAGATGGTAAAGGATCTCGCAGTCATAATCCTTGACTACGTCCAGCCATCTGGGATGCCTCTTATTCAGGTTCGGCTGATCCATAATATATCTCAAACTCTTGTGATCCGTGTAGACCATAAAATGGACCCCATAAAGATAATGTCTCCAAATATTGAAGGCAAACACCATTGCCCCTCACTCCAGGTCATGTGTGGGATATCGCGTGTCATACGACTTCAGCTGCCGTGAAGCATAAGCGATCACTCGTCCTCTCTGCATAAGGAATGCCCCCAAATGGTGATGGATGCATCACAGAATACCAAAACCCTCGAATACCTCTGGAAGGGTCAATACCGGGGCCTCACATACCCTCTGGCGAAGAGTATGAAACGCTGATTGTTGCTCAGGGCCCCATCGGAAATCCACTCCCTTCCTCATCAGATGAGTGAGGGGTACTGCAATCTTAGATAGGTCCTGAATAAATCTTCAATAGTACACTGCCAAACCCAAGAAACTCCTGATCTATGAGGGAGAGTTCAGAACCTCCCACTGCATCACGACCTCGATCTTGGCTGGATCGACCAAAATCACATCCTCGTGAATGAGATGCCCAAGGAACTGGACCTCTCGTAACCAAAACTCACACTTCGAGAACTTGGCATAAAGTCGTTCCCGCCTCAAAACCCCTAGAAGCTCGTAGAGGTGCTCCTGATGATGCTCCATGGTCCTGGAATACACCAAGATATATCATTAAGAAACAAAATGACAGATTAGTCGAGCATTAACCTGCATACCCGATTCATCAAATCCATGAAGACAACAGGCGTATTGGTGAGCCCAAATGGCATCACCATGAACTCGTAATGCCCATAACGAGTCCGAAACGAGGTCTTCTCCGTGTCCTCCTCTCTCACTGTCACCTGATGATACCTAGACCTCAGATCTATCTTGGAGAACCAAGATGTACCTTGAAACTGATCAAAGAAGTCAACAATGCGTAGAAAGGGATAATGATTCTTCACCGTTAACTTGTTCAACTCCTGGTAATCAATGCACATTCATTGTGAACCATCCTTATTCTTGATAAATAGTGTCGTTCTAATGAACTTCTTGCATAGCAGCTCCTGAAGCTGAGATGATAACTCATGTATCTCAGGCGATGCCAAGCGATACGACGCCTTGGAAATCGGGGCCGCACCTGGCACAATATCAATCCTGAACTCAACCTGCCTCTCAGGAGGAACACCGGGTAACTCCTTCGGGAAATCATCAACAAACTCCCTGAAAACTGGTACCTCTAAAACTGAAGTTGTCTCCCCAACCGAGTATCAAGCACATAAGCCAAATATCGAACACACCCGTGGTGTATATACTGTCGAGCCTTGGCTGCCGAACAAAACCCTGAACCAACCCTGGTGCCCTCTCCATAGATAACCCATTCTCCCCCACATGGGGTTGGAACTACCACTCATTGGTCCTCGCAATCAATTAATGCACAAAACCTGCTCGGCCAGTCCATGCCCACTATCACATATACATCCCAATGGGAATAGGGAATAGATTAATCGGATAAGGCACCTCGAAGATCTCCAATACAACCCTGATATAGTACGGATGCAGAAACCCCTGTTCGTTGGCGATAGAAACCCACAATGGAAACTCTAGCTCCGCAATGGGCATATCAAACTCCCTACTGAAAGATTGAGATACAATGGACCGAATCACGCCCGAGTCAAATAGTAAAGGAGTAGGAAAAGTGTTCACTAAGAACGTACCTGTTAGGAGCATATAAATGAGCATAGCGTAAAACATAGTCAACAGAACAATAAATAGAGACATACCAGTCACAACATCTGGAGTTGGTCTGGCCTCCTCGGCAGTGAGCTGAAAAGCATGAAACCGAGCTCTCGTGGGCTTCGCCCTCCCCTGCTGCCTTGACCTTCATATGGCCGACCTTATCACAGTGGTAGCAAACCTTGGTACTCGGAACTGGAGCCGGTTGGCGACAATCCCTCGCATAGTGCCCCTCCTTGCCACATTTGTGGTATACACCGCCTGATCGACAAGCCCCCTCATGAACTTTGCCGCACTTCCCACAAGTGCATCCCCTCTGACTCCCAGATGTAGTATCAGCTGCCTTGAAACGCTTTGGCGCTGGTTGTGACTGCTTCGGGGCCTGTCTCTGCTCCCTCTTCTGGAGCTCCATCTCAATCTCCCTCCACCTGGCGGCCTCGTGAAATTCCAAAAATGAACAACAACATTCAGTGGAAAAAAACTGTCTGATATCCATATTGAGCATGCTCAAGTAATAGTTCATCTGAGCTTGCTCAGAAGTAGCAAACTCGGGACAAAAGGTGACCTCTTCGTAAACATCTTGGTGATTTCCATCACCGACTCAGTCCCCTATCTTAAGTCTAAATACTCTGCGGCTAACCTCTCACGCTCCACCAACAGAACATATCTAGAATGTAACATCTCTAAGAACTTCTCCCAAGTCACAACAGTCCTCGACT